GTATATAGAGTTGTATCTACTGCAGTATGACCTTTAGGACACTAGGTGGCAGGCTTCCGCAAGAATTGATAAATACTGTACTGTACATCACAAATTGAATGCTTCAATTTTATTGAACAGAAATTTCATTTTTTTCTAACATTGTTACAAAAAACAATTAAAAAGCATATACAAAAATATATTAGTTTCTGTAATGTTTTGTGTAGATAATCAAAGTGCAGAACAAATGGCCATAAACCCAGAGGGAAATGTATGCAACGAAACCTTATTTTGAACATTAATGAAAATCCAGAAATGATTTGATTAAATAAGGAGGGTTACATTCCTCGAGACATCTAGAACTATCAGACAAAATTTATTCAGTCTAGTAATCCCCATGTGTGCTGGTTTACAATCCCATTACCTCCCCCGTATCAGCTGGCTATGATGGGACTACATCACATCTCGGATGCATGCCAGGGATTGTGATGGCTGCCTTAGATTGCAGAGAACATGGTTACAAAGAGGGAAGCATAAACTGATATGGAACAAATTGGGGGACACAGCAACACATACTGCTTAACATGGGCTTGAAATAAGCTAATGAAGTTCAGGCACAACAAAAAGAAAGGCAAGAGGAAAACCTGATTTAGCAACCTGGTCAGACTTCTAGGCCAGATACTTCCTACATGGCGTGAGAGTACATCATTGTGGGAGATGAAATTTCCAGCTGAGCATCAAGTTTCATGTTGTAGAAATGCCACCACATATTTTCCTCAGCACTAAATATACTTTAAAGTTAGGTTTGTACAGGCTGCACCCAACATAAAAAAGCTAAAGTTCTGCTCATGTGGTGGGATTTTCCTGCTTCTTTCCAATTTATTCCTGATGGTTGGGAAATGGGTGAAGTCATATTAGAAGGTGCAGCTGGCAGAGACTTCATGGAAACTGAGCAAAAATGCTCCTTGTCTTAAGGAGGTATAAGTGGAAGTGATGTTCACTTGACGGTTGATTTATATTTAGATATGCAGTAAGATTCAGACAAAATTTTGAAATATGTTATTAATCATTATGTGATGCAGCCCAGCTTATATGGTCTTGCAAACCAGGCTTTGTTAATTTATTCAGTAAGATTCAGACAAAATTTTGAAATATTCTCTTAATCACTATGTGATGCAGCCCAGCTTATGTGGTCTTGCAAACCAGGCTTTGTTAACTTGCTACAATGCGCCTATCTAGTCAATAGACCACTCTAGTGATTGTGATTGTTGAGTCTTTTGAGAGTGGGAGATGTGCACACAGCCCTCCCCTCTAGAAGATGGACAAAGGAGCAACCCACAGATGTGAAAATCATGGAGGCATAACTCACTGATGTGTCTTCTTGTGCCATGTCCGAAGCCACCCTAATTTTCTTAAGTGTTTCAGGCCCTCCACTGCTGAAGTAGAACCGTAAAAGAAAATATACCTATTTTTATCCTTCATAAATGTTTGCTTCAAAGACCCAAGTCTATTGTGTTTAAAGATAAACTCAAACCCGGTAGTTGGCAAACCAAGGTACTTCTAACTGATGAAAAAGAAACAAAAACAAATTTCAGTTATATTACTTCACAGATTCCTGCAGGGTATAAAAGAAAAGTGATTTAATTACTGAGGGGGGGGGAAGCAAGGAAACTGAAATGATCTGAGGAGGCAGTAAATGAAAATGTTACTTGGAGAAATATTTCCAGTCATTCTAGAAAAAGGTAGCTAAGGCCTCAGCAAGACAGTCATGCATATGGCTCTCCAAACAAATAGAATTACATTAAAAATGACTGAGGTTTTTGGCAATCAGGAAACTACATCTGTATGCGACTTCAAAGACAGAATTTAACTGTATCTAATATCCTGTAAATTTTAGTTTCCCTTTTAAAAAGTCTTTGTGGATTTGGAGAATAGTCTTGAAATGAATGAGAACTGTTATAGACTCCCACTGCAGGCAAGGAAGTGGAATAAATTTCACCAGCTTTCTGACTTGCCTGTCTTCTTTCGCACCTGTTGACAATGCTCCTGCTATCTAAAATCCCCTTCTCAGTTTTAACTTGTGCTTTTACTATATTTTTTAAAAGTCAAGTTCATTGAAAACCTTGCACCCATCCAACAACAAAAATCATACTAACTTAGACTATACTATTTTTTTCTGAGTTATGTGCTTGCCTCAAGCTACAAGGACACAGAATTAGAGCTAGATTTGTCAGATCAGGTTTTCTGTCTCAGTAAATCTGTGCACTCAAAGATCCACTAAGATAACTGCACAGGAGCCAGATGTACTGCTCAAATAGAAACCAGAAGAGCACACACACTGGGAAGAGATCATAGTGCAGTAGTTAAATACATGTTTTTCATGTTGAAAACTCCAGGTTTAATCCATGATACCACAATTTTTAAAAGAAACCTGTAAGCTGCAGTTTAGCAAGGACTTGTCAAAACACTGGTGTGCCACTGAAAGCCAGAGCAGAGGATTCTGAGAGACAATTATCAACAATCTGGCTTTGTAGAACACAGCTTCATATGAACAGTACAAGTTATTTAGTGGAACATTTGGAACATTTTGATGAATAAACCACATCCACAGGTGATAGCTGAAAGGAACAAGCAAAAGAACTGATATTTTTGGTTCAGCAGGAGTGACTGCTCCAAAGTGCTTTTTAAAATAAAAAGTCCCTTCACTTGACACTCACACATGACAAGGCTACTGAGTCACTGCACATGCCATAAATACCCCCAGCATCAATGTGCAACCATCTCCCCTATATTAAAGAACTGAAAGGAATGCACTGAAGATTGAAAGAGGAAAGAATGCTTCTTGTGCACGGGCTGAGAATAAACAGGGTCAGGCTTGTTTTCCCTGTGCAAAATACAGACAAGGAGTTTCAGTCAGCACACCTTTTATTGACACAAGATAGCGCTGCCAAATATATATATGTGTGCATGTGTGCAAAATCATATTTCTGTGGGACTGCATGTTCCAAACAGTATCTATGCATACCATCACTGCACAAAAAATATAAATCATGGAAAAAAGCAATAATCAACTAACTGGGCTTCATAGTATAGCAACAATTAGCTTACCACAAGATTTGGCAACAGCTCCTTCTTTGGATGTCTATCAAGGGCTACTAAACATAATGCTCTGTGGAACCGTTTAGGTGTAGTAAGCCTTCAAACCTATTTTTGGACTACAAGTCCTAGAACAGCTCAGCCATTATGAACAAAATTATAATATTCCCATGCTACACTTCTAACTGTCCATGGGGAGGCCTATCACACACCTTGTCTACCTGTGGAGTTTCTGGAGATTTCTGGTTGGTCACCAAGAAATGGAATCAAGAGAACTGTGGTCTGATCTGGCAGGGAAATTCTTTTTCATACATCATACTTTAAAAAATCAACAGGGACCAAGACCATCCATTTTTTCATACATCATACTTTAAAAAATCAAGAGGGACCAAGACCATCCACATTCTTGTATTTTGGATCACCATGTATCGGTGCGAAAGCTCTTGTATTTTGGATCACCATGTATCGGTGCAAAAGCTAGATAGTTAAAAAAGCTGACAGAAAAAAAATATGATTCATTTGAAATGTGTTGCTGGAGAAGAGCTTTGCTGATACCATGGACTGCCAGAAAGACAAACAAGTGAGCCCTAGATCAAATCAAAGCAAAAGCAAAGTCTGCTGCTTATATACCGCCCCATACCTCTTCGAACACTTTCTGGGCAGTTTACAAGTTAATTACAGTATGCAGGCTACACATTCCCCCCCCCCCCGCCGCCAGCGAGCTGGGTACTCATTTTACTGACCTCGGAAGGGTAGAAGGCTGAGTCAACCTTGAGTTGGCTACCTGGGACTGAACCCCAGGTCGTGAGCACAGTTTTGGCTGCAGTGCAGCAGTTTAATAACTGCGCCATGAGACCCCTTCTCAAGCTTGAACTATCTCTGGAGGCAAAAATGTTGAAACTGGAGCTGTTTTACTTTGGCACATTAAGAGAAGGCAGGAGTCTCTGGAAAAGACAATAATGCTGGGAAAGGTAGAAAGCAGCAGGAGAAGAGGAAGACCAAATACAGATTGACTCCCTAAAGGAAACCAGAGGCTTGAGTTTACAAAAGCTAAGCAGGGCTGTTGAGGACAGGACATTTTGGAGATTGATCACTCATAGGGCTGCCATAAGTTGAAGGTGACTTGATGGCAGATAAAAACAACAGTCTTTAGAATACCTATAGAAATCTGGTAAGATTTTAGAAAGTAAACTTCAATAAATATACATAATTTTTTTCATTATATTATTTCATTGATTTTCTGAAATGAATTTCATTTTCATATAAAATGTCTTTCTATGCACACTTTCCCTTTTCATTCCCCAGATGAGTTTCAACTGATAGGAAAAAGGGCTGTACAAGCCATGCTTTTAATTTCTGATTAAAAGAATAAAGCTGTATTAAAGTGTATCCTTACAAGTTCTACAAAGAATTTCAGGAGGTGGATTCTGCTATATCATGAAGATATTTTCAAGTATCATTAATAAATTAATGAATGCCTTCTGTAAGAGGGTGGTTTGAAAATGTTAAGACTTCCCTCCGGAAAAAAAAGGAAGCTCTGTCTTATATTATACAAGTATTACTTTTTGGAGTGACTTAAATTGTTTTACACTTCCCATACTTATTTCTGTATTTTGATTGTAATATACTGTGGAGAAACCCAGCAAATGTGATATTTTTCTTGCCCCCACCCCATGTTTAGGAGGACACTGAAAAGGCACTTGTAACAAATACTTTTTCTACCAAGGAATTTTGTTGTTGTTTAGTCGTTAAGTCGTGTCCAACTCTTTGTGACCCCATGGACCAGAGCACGCCAGGCGCTGGTCGTTAACCGAGGAACTTACAAAGCTATAAATTAATCCTGCTGTTACTTTGCTGCTTCTTATAACTTTTCAGAGCCACTCTGAACATAAGTAGATAGGAAAATGTAGGAACATGCCACCATGTCACAGATTATACATGTGTCTATTTTACTGTACTGCACACTCAGGCGTACACACTGGCACTTGGACCACGAAGGTGCTGCATACACCCACAGTGAAACAGACTCTGGTCAACCACAGTGACTTCCAAGATGGCCTGAGCAACAGTGAGTTTTCTATAGGAAAAGTTTGATGTCTAAAGCAGCTCTGAAAATGCTTACCAACATTACCTACTTTCAAGTGTGTTAAAAAGCAATCTTTGGTGGCTTTCAGGGTGAATAGGATGCCACCCATTACAATATGAGATTTCCACAATGCATTTATCATTCTGCACCACGTAGAGATTTTCTATGTGACGGAGGTATCAGATGGACAGGCAAGCTACTGGGGAGCTCATAGCCCTCTAATTTTATCTTGATGAGATGTTTTGCTAACGCAAATTCCTCCTCATCCAACATGCCGTCATTGTCACAGTCAGCAAGCTTCCAGATTTTCCCCAGCACGCTGTTTGGCAGTTTAGAGGTCAACATTTCCCTTTTTGCATTGGCTCCAGAGATTCTGCCATTGATTGGGGAAAGGGTGTAAAAGATTTCATCATAGGCAGGTTTATCTTTAGCAACAATCCATTCCTCCTCATCAGCTCCTTCCTTGGCACCTTCCCCGTAGCCTTGGTCAAAGGGCCCTGCTGTGGTACCATCAAACGCCCCGCCCTGAACCTTCTGCGTTGGCATGCTACGCTCTTCTTGGGTAATCAACGTCATCAGGAAGGCAACTTTATTGGCCAGCATATTATCCACAGCTTCAATGAGCTTTGGTTTCAGAGAATGGAATTTGGTGAAGTCATAATTCTCCAGTAATTCCTGTGAAATGACAGAAAACACTTGTCAGCAGTGCATAGTTGAAATTCTTGGGCTTCCCCAAGACTGAAGATGATGACAGCAGAATGAATATCACCTATATCTAACCCCATGATGATATGTCAATCCTGTTTGGGGAGGAGAATGAGCAGATCATACTGCTGATTACATTTTTCACAAGTTATAAATCAAAATTTGTTTTCAAATCTGTCTGGCAACAAATAATTTGAAATGGGATTTACACGGCAATTTCTCAGCAGCAATTTCAGAGTTTTCAGTTGGCATGTAAATAAAATATGGTCCGGGGAAAAACACCACCATTTGGTGATAGGCTTTGTGAATGAAATCACAAAGCTATGGTAAACCCTGTCACAGTTACATTTCTCGAAACTACAAAGCAGAAATGTGAGTCAAATGTATTGTCTCAGAAAATATTTTCATTAACAGCTTTAAACAGAAACAAATGTCCTTCAATTAAGATAACAGATTAACAAGTAAAAACTTACACCTATAGGACTTACTAACAGCAGCCTGAGTTTTGTATATTGTAGCTCTATTTATTTAGTTACTTAATGTGGTGTTTTTTTTTCAGGGAATGAATGACACAACTTTTTGTGCAGAAACTGCCCAAAGAGATAATGCCACTATATTATGGCATTGTGTTGTGTGATAAAGCTACATCCAAACTATGGCTATTCTAACAGGGTTTTAAAAGGTATATGAGATATTTAAGGAGCAGTTCTACCAGTGCCACACATGCACACCTCATGGCCAAGTGGGGATCTGAACCAAGTTCTCCTGAGCCTGTCACATTATCCACTACACCACACTGGCTCTCATGTTTTGGCTGCAACGGAACAGTCTTGTGAAAACTGGAACCTGTTACAATGAATATGATGAACACCTGAATCAAATATGATCAAACAGAAATTAATGCTTGCAAATTTTCTAGTTCTTTATGAAGCAAGATGTCTTGACTAGAGATGGGAACGAAATGCCAAAATACGTAGTTTGTCTTGGTTTGTGGTTCATCAAGGTTGACCTAGTTTTGACCTAGTTTACGGATGAACTATGAATCGATTTGTCAGCGGGGGAGCCTCCACCAGCTGCCCCTGCCCCCTTTCCACTGCCCCATCGCTTGCCCTGTTTATAGCCTGCCAATCAGCTGTTCAGTGGTCTACAGACAGACAGGGCAAGACTGGCTGCCTTGTCAGAAGGTCCCCCCCCCACACTATATTTGCAAATGGTAGCCAGATTTCCCTCTCTGCTTATATCCCTGAAGAACGGCTGATCCACGGGCATAGGCAGAGGGAAGCTGCTAAGAATGGACGAATAAAAAACGGGAATATTCATCCTTTCGTATTCATCAGGGTCTCCGGAACTGACAAATACAAAGGAATGAATATCTGACAGGCCAGCAATATTCAATGAATATCACAATTTGTTTTTTATATTCGTCCCCATGTATAGTCCTGACACACTGATACTCTTAGGTGAAAAAATTGTGAATTGCTGCTGTTTTTCCTTTCTGCATTTTTTGTTAATAACAGAACTAGCAAAGCTCTCTTGGAAACAACAACAAAATCAATAAAGATTTATAACCCTCAATGCTACAGACCCTTTTCAAGTGCTTTCAAGTTCTCAACAAAATTATAGAATCAAGAGTTTGGGAGAGACTTCACAAGCCTGATTTTCATTAACAGACGGGCCACCCTAGAAAAATTCAATCTATGGTGAACCCACCATGCAGGAATTGTGTTGTGTAATAAACTCAAATTATAGATGATACAGCATTACTTTGTTTCAGAAATGCTCATTTCAATTAGTAACCTATTCTTCATTTGTCTTCTCTGTTCTCCAATTTACAAGGGTACTGGGAGAACGACAACTGAACAGAAACACAGAAGCAAACTTTCACACACTGTTTAACTTTCATGCCACACTAGATAAGACGCCAAGTCACAGGGAGCTCTCCTACAAGTTTTTCTTTCTTCTGACACAAACCGAAGCTGCAGTTTGAAGTGAAAGACCTGTGTTACTGCAAGAGCTTGCATTTTACCCCTTTTCCCTCCAGTGGTTTTCTACCTGAAAATTCCCCCCAACTTTCTCTCCCTGCTCCCCTTGGCAGAAATAATAGAGGTGATACCCCACACCATCTGAGATCTGAGAAGAACTACTTGGAGAAGGGTTTTAGCAACCCACAAACTTTCCCCTTCCCTGACATTAAGTCTTTCATTTGAGATGTCAATTTTCATCATTTCATTTTTTAAAAGTAATTTTTAAAAAATGTAAAGGTAATTTTAAAAAAACCATGTGGCTTGGTTCTCATATTTGGCATGTGCAACCCGAAACAGTAGCCTAACTATTAGTAATCTCATCAACCTTTGCCTTCTACAGTCTCCTAATTTAGAGACAGAAAATCAACAAGAGAATCATATGTATTGGAACAAAGAAAATATAATTTAATCTAAAATATTCCAATGTGTGTTTAAGCCTGATGAAGCATATGCAGTGGAAAAGCCTGCAATGTTTTTCATGAATGCCTAGCACAACAGAATGTATTCCTTGCTCCTATTTGACAAGTGGGCTTCTACATTTTCTCCCCAATTCTATACAGCAGTGTAACCATACTGTTTTCTAAAAGGACTCCCATGGAAAGCACTGACAGCAGAAACACTAAAATGCTATAGACTGTGCAAAAAACAACCAACACATGTACATCCCTTTCAGGAGCCTCTTGGCATAGTGGTCAAACTACAGGACTAAAATCAAAACTCTGCTCATGACCCAAGTTCAATCCCAACAGGCCTGGTAGCTGGCTCAAGGTTGACTCACCCTTCCATCCTTCCAAGGTCTGTAAATGGAATATCCAGTTTGCTGGGGGGGGGGATTTAATCCTGAATAATTAAATTGTAAACTGTCCTTTAAGTGCTATAGGACAGTATATAAGCAACACGCTTTGCTTTGCTTTCCATGACAGGTGTATGCCATACCCAAAACGAAGAATACATAAGTAAGATTTCAGGGAGCTACTTGCTGTAAGAGTTCAGCACTTTATAGAGGAACAACTAAATGATGAATTTGCAAGGAGGTGTATACAATTCTTTTTCCTCTACGTTAACTAGTGTTAGACTTGCATAACTGGAGTAATCTAACTGTGCTGGAGAGACCCAGGTTCAACTCCCCACTCAGTCATGAAACTCAGTGGGTAAATCTGGCTCTGCACCTCTCAGGACAAAGTACCCCCCAATGTTGCTTTGAAACTGCTCAAGGGGAAAAGAAAAGGACAATTATATACGTATGCCACATATGAAACTCTTTAGAGGAAAAGTGAGAAATAAATGGCAATGCTTGGCTTCTTTACACAATAGATGATATTACTAGTTTTTAAGCTTGCTCATCTGTAATTTTGCATGGACTTCTGAGTCACTGTACCTGCATTTTTTTGACTTCTGGGAAATCCCCTGGTGAGATCTGGTGTTCTTGTTGCAATTGACGATAAATCTCAGGTAGTTTGTTTATTAATTCCTTCTTCTTAGCTTCTTTTCCAAATACAGAAGGCATTTCTTTCTTCAGGTAGCTAATGATGTAAGCATGTACCTACCAACAACATGTGGTTGCAAAATTACTGAAGAGCTTGCTTTTGAATTTTCAATTTACCTGTTGCAACAACAAACCTCAAACCCACTCCCTCCTACCCATCATTCAGTTATCCCAACAGGATACAAACCAGTGGCTGAAATCTTGTTGTGAAATTCCGTATGCACAACATTGATGATATCAAGAGCAATGACAAATATCCACTGCTTAAAGGCTTCCTTTTGTGATTTTCAGGATGCGTGCAACTTGTCAGATTGTATCTGAATTACACAAATCCTGAAATCACCTTTAAACAGTGGCAATTTGCCTATAATCAGTGGCAATTTGTCACTGGTGATAATGTCATCCCTATAGTGCACATAGACTAAGTGATGGAATGTCAACAAACGACACACAGAACTTAACCCTACACAGCAAGAGACAGATATAAAGAGAGGCATCCAGGGGGAAAAATATAGAAAGAAGAGAGGAGAGGAAAAAGTGCAAATGAAAGGGGGAAGGGAAAATCAGATTAGGGTGCCTTGGCCCATGATACATAGTTAGTTCATTACTACAGATATATGCATCCAAAAAGGTACTAAATATGCAAATCATGCAGGGCAAATAATCGGTTTGCTAGATATCTGCAGACTGACTTTACAGCACAATAACTTTAAGATAATCATAGGTAGATACTAGAGATCGGGGTATTCATATTCGTATACAAATATCCCCCCACAGGTGCAAATAACAAGGGTCTGGTCCCAGGCCAGACCGACCACTCATAATTCTGCCGCTGCCGCCAACTCCGGACTCCCCTCCTATCGCTCCGGAGCTCACAATGGGTTAGCCACTCCTGGCAGAAGGCAGGATGATGAGCCTCTCTGCCAGGTCAAAGAGTGGGCTCATGTTACAGGAAGATGATTTTGGTTGGGCTCATGTTACAGGAACAATGGTTGGGCTCATGTTACAGGAAGATGATTTCGGTTAAATATCAGGAAAAATTTCCTAACTGTTAGAGAATTGGGGTAATGGAACCAATTACCTTAAGAGGTGGTGAGTGCTCCAACACTGGAGGCATTTCAAGAGAAATTAAGACAACCACCTGGCAGATATCCTTTGATCCATATTTCTGCATGGAGCAGGGGGTTCGACTTGGTGGCCTTATAGGCCCCTTCCAACTTCATGATTCTGTGATTCTATGCCATCTGCAGATTAGGCTCAGATTATAATTTTCACCTTTGCAAGAGGGACTCTCATGAGAAGCTAACACACACATATAGTAAGAAACTTGGGCAATTAATTATGTGTGGTAGCATCAGTGTCAATGAAACCATATAAGACAAGGATAGAAATGAAAAGGGGGATGAAAAGGGCAGAAATGAAGAAAAAGAAATATTTAGACAGCCCAACCAAGCAAATACTGGCCTAACTGACCAGATAGGCGGGATATAAATAAATAAATAAATAAATAAATAAATAAATAAATAAACAAACAAATAAATAAACAAATAAATAAACAAAATAATTAACAAAACTAAAATGTTGACCTCTAAGAGTAAGTCCCCCACCTCTACCTCCTCAATAATTGTTTACATTTCAAAAACAAAACCAAGAGTGGACATATGGTTTTCTATGGTTCATAAATTTATCTGGAAAATTTTGTGTTTGCAATACCAGATTGCTAAAGTATTTACAAATAAATAAACAAATAAATAAACAAAATAATTAACAAAACTAAAATGTTGACCTCTAAGAGTAAGTCCCCCACCTCTACCTCCTCAATAATTGTTTACATTTCAAAAACAAAACCAAGAGTGGACATATGGTTTTCTATGGTTCATAAATTTATCTGGAAAATTTTGTGTTTGCAATACCAGATTGCTAAAGTATTTCCTTATTATTCTTAGAATGGATCGGCAAGTGGGTGCTTGTACATATGAACCCCTAAAACAACTGACTGAAGGCCAAATAAACCTGAGTATTGCTAAAAGCTTCCCACCCAGACTTTCAATCCCTTTGTAAACAAAACCTAAAGAGGCCTATCATAAAGTCTCTAACCTTCTATACTGAAAACTAGAAATAGCACATTCTAAGGGTAAAGGATAAGATTCAGCTGAACAGTTGGAATGGAAGTTATGGACAGAGACTGATAGAACAGATTTCAACATTAGGGAAATAAGCATCATGAATTTTGCAGATGGAAAGCACAAATACAATGAAGAGTACTTTGCTCTTGTTGAACAGATCCTAGACTGACCCAACATCTTTAAGATGTGTTGGAACACAACGACTATAATCCCTTAGTAAGAGCTTATGGGCATTGCATTCCAACACATCTAGAGGCTGATAAGCTGGGGAGGGCTGTGCTAGTCACTTCTGCAGCTTAAGTGTCCTTCCCATTGGCTATCCCTACAAGCCGTGTGTTCACTTTCCTTCTCATACCTCACCAGGGGATAAGGACTTCAGGGTAAATCTCACTCTGTCACTAGCTTGAAGATAGATTAGTGAGTCATTAAATTTGGCAGCAAAATGCTGTGGTCAACTGATAAAAGAATTTCAGTGTGCATATGCACACACATCTAAAATGCTGCTTGCACCCATATTTTTCAAAAGGAAAAACACAATGCTTAGTTTCTACAAGCAGCATTTAAAGGCGTAACCTGTTGAGATGGTCCTATAAAATCAGCTTGATCAGCCTCTGCAACATATGTTGCATATCAAGAAATGTCACTTCTATCTTCCAAGGGAATAGAATTCACAGTCAAACAATCTGCTGCCGTACGCCTACCTTTTTACATCAACATTCAGTAGAGAATAATACTCAGCATAGAAAAACAACACTTTTATGAAACGGCTTGTGGGGTCCCTACTGCTCAGTGTCTTCCCCAGTACTCCTCCACCCCAAATGAGCATTTCTTCAGATGCCCCATGTGTTTTTGGACAGGTAAGAATGTTCTCCTGCTCCAAAGCCCACAAGTCAGACCTATCATGTGGGATGGAGGCAATGCCAGAACAGAGCTGATAAGCCTCTAGAGTTGATAGGGAGGTGGCAACTATTTTGATGCAAGAGGAATTTCAAGAGCAATGGGGTCAGGGAGGAGTGAAGCAAGATCAAAAGCCACATTATAGTTTCGTTTTTCCTCTCTCTTTTAAAAGGCACTACTACACAATAACTGTTTTCTTGAATAACAGCTACTTAAAATTATTTCAAGCTTAAAGTTAACTGTATACTTAAGCTTCACTCTGGATAATTAACTGCTTGTCTTCCTATAGGTATATTGTTCTCTGTTCATTCTATGGTTGAAGCCCAATATATTTAGTTGGATTTTAAAGCAAATTATGAAGGATTAAGGGAACTCTCTCATCTTCTGCTATATTTAGCATCCCCTGCCTCCCATTCCACTTAGTTTGGTGGGGTCCCAGCTAAGAGCACCTCTTCATTCTTACAGCTTACCTTTTACAAAATCAAGTTATCATTGTATCATCAGGGCAGTATGCAAATCCAGGCCCTCTGTGACAATAAATGCCACAATCTGAGGAAGTAGTTGTTCCTCAGAGGGACACAACAAGGGAGCTTATGTGGTTACACCCAGCCATGAAACTTTATCATGCCCCCCCACTTACTTTAGCTAGTCTTGATCTCTTGATCAGATCATTGAGTTTTCTCACTGTTGCCTTTTGAGGTAGGTTCTGGATGTCCTTGAAAAGATCCTGAGCCTCCGCCTCAAATAGCCTTCGGTTCTCTGTGTTTTGCAGGGGCTGGGCCCAAAAAGAGCCAATGTAGACCCGCAGCACTTCTGGAGTGTTGATCACTTTTCCCAGGGACCACATAAGCGCACCATAAACTCTCATTAACTGCTGAGTGTCCACTTGGTCAGCCTTATTCAACACCACCCGGATCTTGTCATCCTGACCCCGAAATGCTTTAATTGCTTCTGAGAACTCGTCAGAAATATCAAGTTTATGAGCATCAAATAAGAGAATGATGCGATCAACCCGCTCACCAAACCACCGTAAGACATCACAGAAGTCATAGCCTGAAAAACAAAAACAAAAAGAGAGAGCAAACAATAAAAGGTTATCAAATATGATAATGCTTGGAAGTTATGTGAATCCTCTAATATAAGTCTTGTGAGATAAAATATGACATAACTTTGTAGCACTTGGAATCATAACATATCCAGATGTTCTGGTAGAGAGTGCCTCAGTCTAGAATACACAAGCCAATTCTGTAGGGCACCCTACATCAAACAGAAACAAAAATACTGACAACATCCAGAAAAGTTGTAACCAAGTGACTAGAGCACACTGTCAATAGATTAGCCAGTTTAGTCTGTAATAGAGATGGGCATGAACCTCCGGTTTGGCGCAGTTTGTTTTCCGGCCACACAGCTGATCCATGGTCTGGCACCTTACCCCCTCTGGCTGGTAGCCACTCAGAGGCAGCGCCCCAGCTTCCCTGCCCTACCTTCTCTGCCTCTTCGTGGGCATCCGCTGGAGGGACAGGGTGGTAAACCGCAGATCAGCTGTGTATCCGGGAAACATCTGCACTGAACCAGCAGTTTTTGACTGCCTATAATCTGTAATCCAGAAGGCACTTTACTTGGATTACGGCAAGTAATCCTTTGCACAGGATTTCCCTGTTAGTCATGACAAAAAACTCCAAAAGAATACAGATCACTATTACTTTTTTTCTGAGCACTACATGTTTTAGGTAAATATTACTCTTTTTTAACACTGCTTCTGTTTTCTTGTCTTCTCTTCAAACTTTTATTATCAACTTGTTTTATCTTCTTTGTTGCAACTGCCTGCTGGGAGAGACAGGGTGATATGAATTTTGCTATCAACAAGTAAACAGACAAACTCACCTCTACAGATACGCTGTTTCTCTCCTGAAAGAATGCCAGGGCTATCTATGATACTGATACTTTTCAGAACCTGATTAGGTAACTGAGCACACATGAACCTACAAAGGAGAGAGGAAGAGTTCTGTTGTTTCAAACATGTTAACTTCAAATGTAACTAGAAAAGGCTTTTGGTATTTCTGAACAACAAACAAAAGACTATAGCAAGACATGCATAATGTATTTTTTGGACCAATTTCTATATGTGAAAAAAGATTCAAGGCTCCCAGGTTTGCACAGCATGAGACAGCTATGGGCTTCCTGAACTAGCCTAGCTGTGTATTTGGCAAGTGTGAGAATGAGCCCTAAACATGCACAGCGGGGGATCTCTAGTGGGCTAAAATTTGTCCTCATATAAACAAGTGCTACATGCATACATTAACATATGTTCACTGTCCAAGACTGCTTGGTATTTCCAGGCATGACCCTGGCTTCCTCCTTCTGCGCATAAGGGGTATTTATCTGAACACCCTTCCTGTCAGACAAAAAGAAGAGTGTTGCTTTATTATGAGCAGCCGCTTCTCTGGAACTGCCAAGCAGCAATACAAGACCAACTGGTCTCTTTCCTACAGAAGATTATCTCAACACTTTCACCATCTCCTATCAGAATAACATAGTAAAAATAGAGACTTTATGTAGATGTAAGCAGTACCATGGTATCTGAAGAACATTTATTTGTGACATCTGTACCCTGTCCTTACTGCCAGGAACTCAAGGGGATGTTTTAATACATGCTTCCTCAATTTGGTGTCCTCCAAATGCATGTTCCTTCTAATCTTCAGGAATGCTGGGTGGGGGTTCCATCTCATGCATTGGTGGGGGCGGGGGTCCTAGTCATAAGCTGAAGCAAATGGACAGCAACATTGGCTCATCTGTGCACCCTCAATAAAGTGCCACATGCCTGCACAGCCACACAACTTAGAGGGAAGTTGGGTTCCAAAGTTCCCAGACAGCATGGGGGACACCATATTAAGGAAAACAGTTTTAATGTCACAGTAACTTTTAAGATTTGTTTAAAATGCAACCTTAAGTTCTATATGGTTTTTACTATGTTGTTTTAATTATAATATTTTAAAAATTAAAAATGGTAAGAAGTGACTGAATAGAACAAACATTAATTATGATAGTTGTAGGTTTTTCGGGCTGTTTGGCCATGTTCTGGAGGGGTTTCTAGAGTTCTAGCTCATGTCCTCTAAAGATGCCAGCCACAGAGAGTGGCGAAACGTTAGAAAGAAAAACCTCTAGAACACAGCCAAACAGCCCCCAAAACCTACAACCATCGGATCCTGGTCGTGAAAGCCTTCGAGAATACATTAATCGTGATATTTTGTTCTCATACAGTTTCTTTTTCTTTTTTCCTTTTGCAAAATGTCTGACTTTGAATTAGTACTAACTGCTACACCAGTTGTCAAGTATTAGGAAAAGACTGTGTCCTTTATTTCAGCTGAACAATGACTCAATGTTTTTTAATTTTCTGGATGTCAAATGATGTAGAAACAGAGGCAGGTTTTTCAAGAAAAACAAGAACAGCAATTATATATGGAGACAGCACTGTGTTACACACTAAAGTCATTTGTAGGCACGTGATTGACATATAATAAAAAGGGGGGAAGGAAATTTTATAGTGGTATAAATGAAAGATGTCCACAGTTTCTCATTTAGAACTATCTGTGAGTTTTTTCATTAAAAAGCAAAAAAGGTCATATATAGGCCCCTTCCAACTCAATTATTCTGATTCTATCAGAATTAGCATTTTTTTGAACCTTTTTTCAAATTGATAAATACCCGTTATTTTAAACATTTCAGGCAAAAACAACTTTAGCAAGTTCGGAATTTATTCTTGTTTCAATGAAGTGAAGGAAGAGTGCAATGGAATTGCAAAAAACAACAAAACCTGGAGAGAGACCTCATTAGGTTGAAAGAACAGAGTTTGTCACACTTCTCCTCCTCTTTGCTCACAAAATAAAAGCAGAGAATTCATGGCAAGTGCCTGCAAACAGTGACTGCGCAGAGGTAGGTTGTTTAAACGAGGCTTGGAAAACTTAGCAGTTTCTATTGCTCTTCCACTTGACAGCAGGATTAGAGTCTGCAAGTGCAACTCTGAGTTGATTTCTCAGGCAACAGCAAGGGAGCTGACAAACAGGAAGCCCTGGAAAGGCTGCAATTCTTCGTCAGATAACTAACTCAAACGCTTGTTAAAGCAAACACCAACATAAATGGCTGAGCCATTTTACTTTGTACATTTGCAGAGAAGTTATAAACATACCACACTGTCCTTGATCACTGTGTGGGGGCAGAAGCCTGAAGCACTTGACAATACCCGCATGGAATGCAGGATATTGTGTTGTTATGTGCCGCCAAGTCAGAACTGACTTATAGCGACCTGTAAGTTTTCAAGGTAAGTGAGGTATTTAAGGAGCGGTTTTACCAGTTCCACCGCTTCCAGTGAGTTTCCATGGCACAGCCAGGGAATCAAACCCAAGTCTCCTGAGCCCTAGTCCAGTACTCTATCCACTACACAACACTGAGTACCCCTGGATAACATGATGCTACTAAAGCAAAGACCCTGCGAAACAGAGAAGTGTTCCTCTTCAGTGGAACCAGAACCACTAATGCCAATAGAGAGAGAATGCTGAAAAGAAGTGTGGTTTAAGGAGCCTTGTGGCGCAGTGGTTAAACTGCTGTACTGCATCCAAAACTACAGTGGTACCTCGCTAAACAACAACCCTGCTAAACGAAGAATCCGCATGACTATTTACGGTCGCTATAGCGATTCGCAAAACAGTCAGTCCCATGTGGTATTTTTGCTGGACGTTGATTAGGTCCGTGCTTTGCGAACCGTTTGTTCGCAAGACAATGATTTTTTCGGCTTCGCAAAATGGCTGCCCTGTGTTTTCCGGACCCATGCTTCGCAGGCCAGCCATTTTTACACCTGATCGGTGCTCGCAAAATGGCTTCCCTATGGGCGATCTTCGCTGGACGACAAGGTATTTTCCCCATTGAATGCATTAAACTGGGTTTCAATGCATTCCAATGGGGAAAGGGTTTTCGCATGACAATGATTTCACTAAGCATCCAATGGGGAAAGGATTTTCGCATGACGATTTCACTAAGCGATTTTCACAGGACAGATTATCACCGTCATGCGGGGCACCACTGTACTCACAACAATGCGGGGCACCACTGTACTCATGACATGAGTTGAATCCCAGGTAGCCAATTCAAAGTTGACTCAGTCTTCTATCCTTTCAAGGCTGGTAAAATGAGCTCCATTCCATAGCTCATCTTCAGGTAAGAGATAAGTAGGCAAATCCGTACCTTCTTCAGATAACATTCTTCTAGTCTCATTTACTCCACTGTTCAGTGATCTTAAAACTGCTATTTTTAAAAGTACTGACTCATCCCATTTGAATAAATTTTAGACTCTTCCAAAACTCAATGCTGGGGAGCTTTCACAAAAACAACAGATATGGTACTTAAACTGGCATTGCAAATGCAAAACCACCCTATTACAACCAGTAGTGACTTATGCATTGAGTGATTGGATTATCCCCCAAATTGAGAGGGGGGCCTGTCCCTCTTCTCTCCACAATCTGTTTATGATTAAGGATATATACAGTGATTATCCCCCAAATTGAGAGGATTCTTTTGGGTGGCTGCCTCTTTCATTGTTTTTTTTTTCCTCATGTATCAGTTTTCATTTTACATGAAAGTGAAAATCTGTTTCAGGTTCTTCTGTTTTGGGCTTCCCCTTTCATGATTCTGGCACTCCAGAAATTTTAAAGAACCCTTAGAACCTACTTCAAAACAGCAGAGGCAAGGTAATAGAGAACAAATCTATTCAAAAGGCTGACAAAATATGTAAGAAAAATTATCAAAAAAACCACCCAAATGTTCATCTTTAATATAAACACACAATAAACTGACCAAAAACAATGAAAAGAGCACACAATCAAACGGGGAAAGCACCCCCTCCCGACATATAGAGGCAGAAGCAGCAAAATAAATAACTTTTTTAAAAAAATCCCACCTCTCAAAAAGCAAGAAAAGCAAGCACCTCAGCTGTGTAGGGGTGGATGTCGCAGGACTTGTCAAGCACCATGGAGACGCAGGTGCAAGAATGGATGTCATCCCTGTCCTTCAGCCTCAGCCACTCAACACAGGATCTTGGGCCATAACTGATGCAGCCTCTGCCACTCCATGCCAGGAAACTAAATGAGGACTCTTGCCAGGCTCATCATCCAGTCCACTGTTCAGTTCAGCAACATCAGAAAGGATGGACTTTGACTCCTCTGATACTGAGCCCTCCCCTGCGAACGTCTTGCCAGGCATCCCTGATCCCGAAGAACCACCTCAAACCTTCTTCTAATCCCTCTTTTGTGCCCACCTCTTTCACTTTCACTTGTGGCGCAGTGGTTAAACCGCTGTACTGCAGCTAAAACTGTGCTCACGACCTGGGGTTCAAATCCCAGGTAGCCGGCTCAACGTTGACTCAGCCTTCTATCCTTCCGAGGTCGGTAAAATGAGTACCCAGCTTGCTGGGAGGGGGGCAATGTGTAGCCTGCATAATTAAATTGTAAACCGCCCAGAGAGTGCTTGAAGCGCTATGGGGCAGTATATAAACAGCACGCTTTGTTTTGTTTTTTTTTACTTCTAGGTGCCTTTCATGGAAACACGTTTCCCTCCTCCTTACCTCTTTGAGAACACAGAACATTGGTCCCACCCAAATTCTCGGGGGGGGGGGATGTAGGACTATGGTGGGCAGACTGCCTGAGGCACTGGTAGCAACACTTCAATATGATCACAATCTCAATCTATTTAATCGGTTTTTAAACAGTTTTGTTTATTATGATTATTTGAGTTGTATTATTGCTTAATTTGTTTTAGTGATGTTAGCTGCCTTGAGTCCTTTTTCAGTAGAAATACGATATTAAAATATAATGAACAAAAATGAATAATTATCATGTACAGATGCAATATGCTGATAAAACACAGAATGATTCTTATTCCAGTAAAAATAACTGAGAACACACCCAATAATTTCAGTAGTAAAATACAGCACTGAAATTAGGCAGTATACTACTCCACCTGTTCTATTAAAAATAATGATCTATTGCCAAATTGAATCAAATTTAAACTTTATCAGGCTTTCTGAGGAGTAAAATACAGAAGTAGTTTCATAATACCTCCTTTTTGTGGTGTGCTGGGACTATGCAGCTTGCCAAGTACAAAAGAAGTTCTTCCAAATATTTTGCATGTATAGGAGGCCCAGAGGCCCCCCAACATGGCAAATTTACCTTCCACACCCCCTGGGAATATAAGTGCAATATTTGAGCAAATTTTAATAACTTGCTGGGGATTGGATACCCAGGGAGATGCTGGGATTGCATCTGGATCCCCATGCCACACTTTGCCCAGCCCTAATTTATTGCAACTCAGTCACACTATCCAAAAAGAGGGGTGCACGCAGAATGAATATACAGTGGTGCCTCGCATAGCGAGGTTAATCCGTTCCGGATTAACCTTTGCTATGTGAATACTTCATTAAACGGAACAAAAAAAGCCATGTTTAATGCGTTCCAAATCGGCAGAAAACTCACAGTTTAACGAAGTCTTCCCATAGCCGGCAGGCATTTTTGCGCCCTCGGTAAGCGAGGGGAGGGCGCAAAAACGCTGTGCGTGGCCATTTCGGCTGTTCCGGTGGCCATTTTGGACCCGCCGAACAGCTGATCCGCGGGTCGCAAAGCGAAGGTTGGTAAGCAAAACGCTTACCGATCTTCGCTATGCTAGTTTCGGCCATAGAGGCTGACGCAAAGCCTCCGCATTAGCGATCCTGGAAAGGGGATAGCTATGCAGATTCGTCGCTATACGAGGCGCTCGTTAAGCGAGGCACCACTGTATTCAAATATGTATAGATATGAATATCATATACAGAGTGCTGATCGCTGTTTATGAAATGCCCTGTCTAGGAATCCGGCAGGACCCCACATTACAGCATTTTAAGCAAAAAGTGACAGCTTTACACTATTGCTTTGGCCTTCTAATGTATTAGTACTGTATTGGTGCATTTTTAATCATATTGCTCTCATTTCCTACTCTTTGTTTTCTGTCTGTTATATTTTCATGATGTTTCAATAGGTTCTATATTTTTACTTCACATTTTATTCTATTAATGTGTTTTATGATTTTAAACTTTATTTTATGAATGTCCAAAAAGCTTTGGCTATTCAGCAATAGAGGAGCATTAACAATAATCAGGGTTGTGTGTGTCTGTGCATGTGTATCTGTGTCTAAGAAACCCTCTTTGTGTTACTAGCCTGGCTTGTCCAAAAGTGCCCACTTACTGTGTAGCCCAAATTATAGTCCTGCATGTTTGCCAGCCAACAACTCTGGAACATAAACAGTTACAAACAGCAAGGGGGAAAAAGCCTCGTGGTGCAGTAGTTAAACTGCAGTACTACAGTCAAACTGTGCTCATGTTCCAGGTTCAATCCCAGGTAGCCGGCTGGAGGCTGACTCAGTATTCAATCCTTCCAAGGTCAGTAAACTAAGGACCCAACTTGCTGGTGGGGCAATGTGTAGCCTACATAATTAAATAATTAAATTATAAACTGCCCAGAGAGTGCTTTAAATGCTATAGGATGGTATATAAGCAGCACACTTTACTTCCCTCACCCATAAATAAAGGCTAGCAACAGGCATTAAAACTGAAAGAAAGCAGAAAATGGTTTGGAAAGAGAGTGAGTCCCTAGTGCTACTTTGACCTATGCAATCAAAGCCTGCATAATAGTCAGTTCTCCACCATATATTCACATACACACTCAACTGTAATGAAGATTCAGTGCAGCAACTTGAAACAGAAAGAAAATTTGAGAATACAGTCAACCTAAAAAGTGACATACCACCCCCCTGGCCACATATGTATGCAAAGCAGCTCCTCAGCTAGATGGTGAGGTTGTTCTGAATGTTTCCAAAAGAGATTTTGGCTTTCAGGCTTCAGCTGTCTACTCCTTCTGTCTTGGTTCTTCCTTCTTGTCTCTCAGCAACTGGCACCAAGTAGTTTTGGTAAAATGTCCACATTTTTAACCCCCCAAAAGCTGCAGCAAATTTCAGTGTTACACAGGATCACACAGCTGACGCAAAATTCCTTGAGCTGCCCTGCATCTGCTCCTGTAACATACAAATATTTCTGTTTTCCCTTGCTGGATACCTTTTCCCAAAAGACGAGTTTACCTTAAATATATTTGTATCACTTACACTGTTCACTGTATTTTTTTAGTGCTTGGTAATATTGTCTCAAAGCCCTATACTAGTTTTTTTTTTCAAATCTAGAAAGAACGATATCGACCTAGAATTAGGAAAAGAAACAGAAGTTATTATCCAAACTGTATGTAGATCTTTGAAAAAAGGTTCTTTCAGTTTTGCTCAGTGGTTCCCAACCTTGGGTCCCCAGATGTTCTTGGACTAAAACTCACAGAGGTCTCCACCACTGGGTGTGCTAACCAGAATTTCTGGAAGCTGTAGT